AAGAAGGCAAAAAATCCAGTCTGAAGCACTTCCAATTTTGCACCAAACTAGGAAAAAAATAATTTTTGACCCCAAAATAGTAGTCAGATATCTCCTTGGATCTAGCAGCTATTTCCCCACTAATTAGAAATTATATCCCTGTATGTTTTGGAAATATTTATCCAATTGCTATTTAAACATCTGTATCGACTCTGATAAAACCACCTCTTCAGGCAGAGAATTCCATATCCTTATAGTTCTTACTGTAAAAAAACAACAACTTTTCTTTGCCTTAGATGAAATCTTAGATTAAATCTCCTTTCTTCCAGCCTAAATGTGTGACCTTGTGTCCTATGTATAGCCCTGTTTGTGAATAGATTTCCAGATAATGGTTTGTACTGGCCCCGAATATATTTGTATAATGTTATCATATCCCCCCTGACGCGCTGTTTTTCCAAACAAAAGAGATTTAAATTTTTTAACCTTTCTTCGTTACTAAAATGCTCCATTCCTTTTATCAATTTTGTAGCTTGTCTCTGCACTTTTTCTAGTGCCATGATATCCTTCTTTAGAACAGGTGCCCAAAATTACACATCATATTCAAGGTGTGATCTTACCAGTGATTTATAAAGAGGCAAAATTATAATTTCAACCTGAGAATTGATGCCCCTATTTATACATGACAAAACCTTACTGGCCTTAGCAACTGCAGATTGACATTGCCAGGGCCGGATTAACATAGGGGCTGATGGAGCTGCAGCTCAAGGCCAAGGCCCATGGAATAGGCCCATTGATTTAAAAAAAAAAAATTACATTTTTTTTTTTCACACACTACTCTTAGGGATTCCACCTGGCTTTTATTTTATTGGCAATACAAATACTGGTATTTTTCTCAGTATAAACAAGAGATTACTATGCAATACCAGCACTGGCCAGTAGGGGTCGCTGTGTGTGGAGACAAGCAAGGATAGGAAATTCCAGCATATCCCTCCCTGCCTATCTATACTCACTGATCTGCAGGGGTGCAGCTACAGAGACTCCAGAGAGCAACTCCCACCCTGCAGAGACAGCCTACAGCCCAGGGAAGTAAGGGATGGGAGAAAGGCTGCAAGGAGACATACACTGTGACACTAAGGGACACTGGGAGACATTATGGCAGACACTGAGACACTAAGGGACATTGGGAGACATTATGACACAGACACATGGGGACACAGTGTCCCCATGTCTCCCAGCCAGTTTCCCTGGTGTCTCAGTGCCCCCTAGTCTCCCAGTGACCCCTAGTCTCCCAGTGTCTCACTGTCCCCATGTCTCCTAGTGCCTCAAGTGTCTCAATGTCCCCATGTCTCCAAGCTAGTGTCCCTAATGTCTGTGGCCGTGGTGTCTCAGTGTCCCCATGTCTCCCAGTGCCCCCATGTCTCAATGTCCCCATGTCCCCCAGCCAGTGTCTCTAGTGTCTGTGTCCCCATGTCTTCAAGTGTCCCCTATTTTCCCAGTGTCCCCATGTGTCCCAGCCAGTGTCCCCTAGTTTCCCAGTGTCACTGGTGTCTCTGTGTCCCTAGGTCTCCCTGTGTCCCCAGGTCTCCCCATCTTCCTAGTGTCCTAGTGACACATACATGGGGACATAGACACATGGGAATACTGGAGGACACAGGGAGACATGGGGCATTGAGACACTGTGATACATAGGGACACTGTGATACATAGGGTCACTGGGAGACCTGGGGACACGACACTAGGGGACACTGGGAGACAGGGGGCACTGAGACACTGATACATAGGAATGTTGAGACCTGGAGTAATCGACACATGGGGGCACTGGGAAACATGGGGGCACTGGGAAACATGGGGGCACTGGGAGGAATCCATCTATACAGCATAATCCAACTAATTCGTTTTTTGGTGATTTTACAGCATTTTCTCTTACATCACTCCTTGTGATTTACATCATGTGATGTCACCCATACATATTTAATTATGCAAATTAGTAAGGCTGGTATGTTGTTCCAAGACAGGTGGCAACACTAACTACTTTTCACATACTCTTACTTAAGTATGGAAACTTAAGAGGGATGTATGGGAACAAAACTTGTGTGGACTGGCTGACAATGAATATAGTTAAAGGGACACTATAGTCACAAGAACAACTACAGTTTATTGAATTTGTTCTGGTTAGTAGAATCTTTACCTTCAGGCTTTTTGCTGTAAACACTGTCTTTTCAGAGAAAATGCAGTCTTTACATTACAGCCTAGTGATAACTTCACTTGCCACTCCTTGGATGGCTGTTAGAGATCCTTCCTGGGTCATGGCTGCCTAAAATGCATCCAAACATTCAGTGTCTCCTCAATCTGCATGCAGACACTGACCTTTCCTCATAGAGATTCATTTATTCAATTCATCTCTATGAGGAGATTCTGATTGGCCAGGGCTGTGTTTGAATCATGCTGGCTCTGCCCCATATCTGCCGTTTTGTCAGTCTCAGCCAATCCTATGGGGAAGCACTGTGATTGGATCAGGCCACCGCTTCTAATGATGTCAGCAGACTGCTTGTTTTTCTGAGTCTAACAGCATGCAGAGTTACAGCTTCAGGCTTGAATACAGTAAGATTTTTACTATATTTATGGAGGCATGAGGGGCCCAGGGGGGTTAGATGGTGGTGTTAACACTATAGGGTCAGGAATTCATGTTTGTGTTCCTGACCCTATAGTGATCCTTTAAGGCAGGGGTGTCAAACATGCGGCCCCCCAGATTTTGCTGAACTACAACTCCCATGATTCTTTCAATGAAACAGATAGCCAGGGAATCATGGGAGTTGTAGTTCAGCAACATCTGGGGGGCCGCATGTTTGACACCCCTGCTTTAAGGTAATGTGGCATGTTCCCTTTCTTCTACACTCACTACATACAGCTTTTCTCTGTCCCGGACTATATACCAGGAGCGTCTGCCTGCTAGTAAGAAGGTAAGGAGACAAGTGGACCAGCGAATGCTAGGGGACAGTCCTTTAGAAAGCGTTGAGCGAGCGCATCATTAGATGCATTTATGCCAAGCTCAGGGTGCTGTCTGCATAGTATGCCCTTAGTTGGCCAGCTGCATGATTGGCAGGTAGTCTGACATGCATTCATGCTAGGCTGGCTTTCAAATTCTTTGGGCAGACATGTCCTCTTTTTGGGCATGTTCGCCCCTTTTGGCAGGTTACGTGATTTGTGTCAGTGGCACACCCTTTTACCGTGCCCATTGACTTCCTGCTTGTCTGGACACTGCTGTTAGGGGTTATGGATTTACTTGAAAGATGAAAACATAAATTAGAGAGAGATTAGCATAGGGTATGTGCTTTCTTATAGCTGCTGTTTTCTTTCTCTCCAGCACCATCTCCATCAGATACATGACGCTTGGGAGTGTTTTAGTGTTTTTGGTCGATATGATTCTTTAATTAGGCCCGTCATAATTGTCAGCACCAGGCCCACTGGGCT